TCCATGTAACATATTCAAAATTACTCTCATTAAAATTCTAAATTCCCTTGTTATTAATTCACCTTATACTGTGAAGATATCTATTCCCTTAGTCCCCCTTTCTCTGACTTCTAGCTCTTTTTTGTTATCCATCATCTCTCACTTGCATTAAAGCTTGGATTATTCATTTCTTAGCTTGTCTCCCATATTCCTCTCTTGGATCTTTACCTCTATCTACTACCACTTCTTGGCCCATCCTCTTATACATTTCTCCCTTCTCTACCCAATTCCACTGCCTCATTTTCAAGTTATCTACTTTTACCCCTGTCTCTCTCCCAAAGAAAGCTCCCTGCAGTTCCAATTCCGGTTTAATTTCCCTTAAAATACTCTCCCAACTCAGCCCAGAAATAAAAGGGATAAAAGGCCATTTATTTTGTTTTTTAAAAATTAAAGGATGTATTATATTCCCCTTGCATGGTGATTTTGTTTGCAGTGAATGATCACTCTTTGTAGGTTATGGCATTACTGACTTAAAGGGAAACTATTCTGTTGCAATGTCATTATAAACTTCAAAGTTTGCTTCCAGTTAGTAGCTGCTTCCTGGTTAAGTGGTTTCACTGGATTTTCCAACTCTGCTCTACAGAATCCTTCCCCTAAGGTCCATCCCCTAAGGTGAATCCTCAGGCTTCTCTCAGGAGATCTCGTTCGACAACAAACTTCTCTCCTGTCTCTAAAATTTCTGGTCCTCTAGGAGTCAACTGATTTTAAAGGTGCCTTCACAGTCTTTGATGTTGGCAGAAGCAAAATATCTGCAAATATGAAATATATTTTCCAGGAAAAGGGATAGATGAAGAGTCATGTATGGCATGGAAATTTTTAGAGCTTTGAATCACCAGTGCATATTAGTACACCTTCAGTTTTTCAGAAGGCAAAATATTACATTTTCCTAAAAATATCAGAAAAAAAAGTGAAAAGTAATATTAATGCTTACTACTTTCCCTAAGGTCATGTTTGGTGGGTTGGTTCTTCATTTGTGCAACATCACTGAAAGTTTTATTCATCTAACTTGCTAGTAGAAGTATAAGGAAACAGGGTCTGGTTTTCAAGGATAATAAGCCTATTTCCTTGTTAAGGTCTGCTTGATTCTTTAATTAATTATCCTCTTGTGTTCTCAGGCTTCCATCTTGATAATACCATGAAAAAAGACAACCAATCCTGTTTGGATGAGATCGATCTTCTAGGCTTCTCTGATTTCCAGTCCATGCGAGAGCTTCTCTTTTGCCTGGTTCTAATGTTCTATCTCATGACTTTGATGGGAAACAGTCTGATTTTGATCCTCATCATTCTCAATCCTACCCTTCACACCCCAATGTACTTCTTCCTCTGGAACTTGTCCTTTTTGGAAATTGGCTACACCTCCACCATCAGCCCAAAGATGTTAATGATTCTGGTCTCAGAAAACCAGACTATATCCTTCTGGGGCTGTGGTTGTCAAATGTGTTTCTTTATTCTCTTTGGTCTTGCTGAATGTTGTCTTCTTTGTGTCATGTCGTATGACCGCTATGTTGCCATTTGCAAACCCTTGCAATACCCATGTATTATGAAATACAGGAAATGTGCTATGTTTGCTGCTGTATCATGGGCCATTGGTGTTTTTGTGAGTTTGGGACAATCTGTTTCTATCTTCACCCTTCCCTTCTGTGGATCAAATAGAATCAACTATTTCTTCTGTGACATTAAGCATGTTCTAAAATTGGCTTCCACTGATACCTATAAGGATGAATTGGCCATTGCCATACTAATAACTCTAATTATCTTGACACCCCTTTTGTTCATCCTTTTTTCCTACATCCTCATCATCCCCACTATTCTCAACATGCCTGGGGCCAAAAACAGAAGCAAAGCATTTTCCACTTGTTCCTCACATCTCACCGTAGTCTGCATTTTCTATGGAACTGCAATTGTTACCTACATTCGTCCCAACTCAGAATACTCCATGAACAGAAGCAGATTCCTTGGCCTGCTCTATACAGTGGTGACCCCAAGCCTGAATCCCCTCATTTATAGCTTAAGGAATAAAGAGATAAAAGCTGCTTTCAAGAAATTTGTAGCAAGGAGGCAGGCCTCTTTTATGGGATAATCTTAGTATATCCAGGTAAAATCTCTTCAAAACAATGAGGTTGTTGTACACATATTTATGGATTACAACAAACCTCTGAGGATACCAGGGGTAGATTACACCCATTAGAGCAGAATGACCCAGGGGTGTGACAGATTTATTCAAAGAAATGAAGAGTCCTGAAAGGTAACCTAAATTCATTATTGTAAAATATGCAGAATTCAAATAAAAGATTGATTACCCATCTGCTTAGAACATCTGCAAAAAGAGGAGGCAACAGAATGCACATGAAGAGTTATTTCAAAGATTATAAAATTTTTGCTTCAATATTGGCAGAAAGACTTAAAAAATATTTAAATAACTTTATTCATTCTGATCAAAATGGATTTCTGCCAAAGAGACAAATCAAGGATAATATGAGAGTAATTTTGGATACCTTGGAATACTATGAGGCACACCCTGAAAAACAAATGGCTTTGATATTTCTGGATGCACAAAAGGCATTTGATAATGTGAATTGGCGATTCATGTTGTTATTGTTGGAACAGATGGGGTTTGCCAGAAAATTTATTCAAGCAATAGAAGCCATATACTACAAACAAATGGCAAATGATAGAGGGAGAATTGAAAGACTCTATCAATATAAGAAAAGGAACAAGACAAGGGTGCCCACTATCACCTTTGCTATTTGTGTTAACTTTGGAAGTGCTAAATAGAAATATTAGAGACGAAAAGAGTACAAAAGGAATGAAAATTAAAAAGGAAGAATTTAAATTGCAAGCCTTTGCAGATGACTTGGTTGTTATGTTAGAAGACCCTTTAGAAGCAGCACCAAAATTATTGGAAAAGATAGAGGCATATGGCAAGGTGGCTGGTTTGAAAATAAACAAAGATAAGACAAAGATTTTTGACAAAGAATATGTTATCAAGACAAAAGGAAGAATTGGCAGATCTATTGAAAATTCACGTCATGAATAAGATTTAAGTATTTGGGGATACATCTCACAGCAAGATGTAGTACATTAAAAGAGAACAATTATATTAAACTTAAGCAGCAGATAGCGCTTGACTTGGCAAAATGGGAAAATCTACAATTGTCATTAATAGGGAGAATTTCAACAATCAAGATGAATATATTACCCAGAATTCTATATTTGTTCCAAACAATTCCAATTAGGCTTGGAAAAGACTATTTTGAAGATTTAAATAAAATTGTGTTCAAATATATATGGCAAGGTAAGAAAGCGAGAATAAAGTTAAAACTTTTGCAAGATGCTAGAATTAGAGGAGGATTTGGTTTGCCTAATTGGGAGTTGTATTACCAAGCTACAAACTTGATGTGGGTCAAGGAATGGATAACATTAAGAAATACTAGATTGTTCACAGTAGAAGGACATGATTTGTTGTTGGGGTGGCACGCTTTTTTATGGTACAAGGGAACTAAAATACGGGGATATTTTAGAAGACATCATATACGGGAGTCTTTGTGGTTAAATTGGGAGAAGACTAAAAGACAATGTTATTTGAAAATTCCAGTCTGGTTATCGACTATTGAAGCATTTTCTTATCCTATAATATACAAGAAGGAACAAACAGTTAGATATGGGGAAATATTGAATGAAAAGGATGAACTTAAATCGATGCAAAATCTAGAGGAACAAGGTACAAAGATGAATTGGTTTTCATATGCGCAAATACATTCAAGGTATGATAAAGATCTCAAAACAGAAGGATTCTATGATAAATTGACTGACTTAGATAAGATTTTGACAGGTACTGATGAAAAGGTGATTAAAAAACTGTACAAATATTTATTAGAAATTAAACTAGAAGAACAAGTTAAAGAAACTATGATTGCTTGGGGGAAGAATTTTGGATATGGGATTGATTTAGAGAAATGGCAAAAATTGTGGTCTCAAAATTATAAAATGACAATGTCAACAGCATATAAAGAAAATTTGTATAAGATGTTTTACAGGTGGCATTTTCCCCCGATAAGAATAGCAAGAATGTTCAAGAACAAATCAGAAAAATGTTGGAAATGTCATCAGATACCTGGCTCATATTACCATATGTGGTGGACCTGTGCGGACGCTAGAAAATACTGGACTAAAATCCACATGTGGTTGGAAAAAATGACAAAAAATTGAACAAAATGATTGTCCAATCTCTTCTTAAAAACTTCCTGTGATGGAGCGCCCACAACTGCTAGAGGAAAATTGTTCAACCGATTAATTGTTCTAAGTCAGGAAATTCCTCCTTAGTTCTAAGTTGATTGTCTCCTTTGTTAGTTTCTATCCATTGCTTCTTGCCCTGCCTTCAGGTGTTTTGGAGAATAGGTTGACCCCCTCTTCTTTGTGGCAGCCCCTAAGATATTGGAACATTGTTATCATGTCACCCCCTAGTCCTTCTTTTCACTAGACTAGACATACCCAATTCCTCCAATGTTCTTCATAAGTTTGTCTTCAGTCCTCTGATCTTTTTTGCTCTTCTCTGCACTCTTTCTATAGTCTCAACATCTTTTTTATATTGTGGTAACCAAAACTGGATGCAATTTTCCAAGTGTGGTCTTGGTTAGTGTAAAGCTTGACAGACAAGTTGAAAGTCGGATGATATAAAAAGCAGAGAAAAGTAAAGAGATTATCAGTATCTATATAAACCAGAAGGAAAGAGAGTCTGGTAAATATTGTAATTCATCAAGCATTTGGAATAAAGCACAAAGGAATTTGGATGATGTATTTCTTCAAGAGAAGCAACGGTCTTCATACAAGGTTATTCTTAATGCTTTAATCCTTCAGAAATAACTGATCCTCTGAATAAAGGTGATAGAATATAATGAGCCTTATGCTCCATTCAACTTCTCTTGAGTTTTTACATATTTTGGAGTGGAACTGGAAAGAAACAGATAAAGGTAAAGGTTCCCTTCGCACATACGTGCTAGTCGTTTCCGGTTCTAGGGGGTGGTGCTCATCTCCGTTACAAAGCCAAAGAGCCAGCGCTGTCCGAAGACATCTCACGGACATGTGGCCAGCATGACTAAATGCTGAAGGCGCACGGAACGCTGTTATCTTCCCACCAAAAGTGGCACCTATTTATCTACTCGCATTTTTACATGCTTTCGAACTGCTAGGTTGGCAAAAGCTGGGACAAATAACAGAAGCTCACTCCGTTACGTGGTGCTAGGGATTCAAACTGCTGATCTTTCTGATTGACAAGAACAAAAAACAGGAAACAGCAATATAAGATCCCTTTGGCATATAATCTTTTTTATTTTTGATTGGGGCACTGGGATTTTTCAAGTATATCTATTCATCTCCCAAACAGAGGAGATTTGCAATTAAATTAAAACACCACATTTACACTCATTACAGCGTTCAGGTTACGGTATTCACTCATATTGACATAATTGTTACTATTCTATTATGTTATATAGTTTTTTCCTACTTTTAACTTATAACAATATTTACAAATATATATACAATACTTCCCCATTTTACTATATCTCCTACATATTCTTCATGTAACAACTTTACATCTCTTCTCTAACCACTGGTACGATACATTCCAGATCTTATAGTATTCCATTTCTTCTCTGCCTTTTAACTCCATAGTTAACCTATCCATCTCTGCACACTCAAGAATCTTTCTTATGACCATTATGTCAGAGGGAGTGTTATCTTGTTTCCAGTTTTGAGTGAAGGCAATTCTGGCCATTGTTATTATATGTATCATAATGTATTGCAGTTTTTTGCAGATATTTTGTTTTAGTATGCCCAATAAAAATAGTTCTGGTTTCATCTCAGTTTTTTGTTTAGTAATTTCTTCTAACCAATTCTTTACTTTTAGCCAGTATTTGCTAGCTTTAGGACAGGTCCACCACATGTGAAAGAAGTTCCTTGTTTATAGTTACATCTCCAGCATTTTGCTGATCTGTTTGGAATCTTGCTGGGGGTAAATGCCAGTGGTAGAATATTTTGTACAGATTTTCTTTGTAGCAGCTGACATTGTTGACTTATAATTTTTCTCCCACAATGTTTCCCAATGTTCCAATTCAAGGCTGTACCCAAAAATTTTGGCCCATATTACTATAGTCTCTTTTGCTGTTTCTTCCTCCATTTTAAATTTTAAAAGATAATTATATGCTTTGGTGATCATTTTTCCCCTGTTCCCTGTATTGTTTTATCTAATTTCTGTTTGTCTTTTTAGAAGCTGTGTTATTCTAAATCTTTTTTGTACCTTGTCCGAATTTGTAAATAAGGCCACCAGTCAATCTCAATTTCTTGGGCCTTTAACTCCTGGTTTGATTTTAATTCTCCTTTCTCATCCAATAGCTCTTTGTATCTTACTACCTTATTGAAATCTAAAACATTGGGATATATCATTGCCTTCATAGTCGATAGCCAAATTTGGATTTTCATATAATGGTTTTTCTTGATATTTTTCCCATACGTATAGCAGGGAATCCCTCACTTGATGTCTCTGGAAATATGAGTGTGGTTTATTTTTCCCATCCCAAATGAATGCATGCCAGCCAAGTTGTAGATCGTGGCCCACTATTGTTAGTATTCTTTTATTGTTTAAATTTATCCAATCTTTAAGCCACGTCATGGCTGCGGCCTGGTAGTAAAGTTCCCAGCCTGGGAATCCAAAGCCTCCCTTATCTCTACTATTCTGTATAAGCTTTAATTTTATTTGGGGTTTCTTCCCTTGCCAGATAAATTTTGTTATTAGTTTATTTAATTCTTCCAAAAAAAATTCTTCCTAATTTTATTGAAACTCTTTGGAAGAGGAACAGGATTTTGGGTAATATGTTCATTTTAATGGTGGCAATTCTTCCAATTAATGATATTTGTAATTTCATCCAATTATCCAAATATTTTTCTATTTGTTGTATTAATTTATTATAATTGTCCTCTTTTCTAGAGGACCATTTTGTCGTCGGCCAAATTCCAAGATACTTCACTCTTTTGACCATCCGGATCCCCAGTTTTTCCTCCAATTCTTTTTTCTGACTTGCAGTA